TCTGGTTTTCCCCCTTGAGACAGGGTCTCACTATGAAGCCCAGACTGGCCTGGAACTCGTGATCCCCCTGCCTCAGCCTCCCGAGTGCTGGGGTGACAGACCAGCGATGCATTTTTCTTGATGCCAAGAAAAGTTCCAAACTGCTTTGGAAATCTACATTGAGGCTGGGGGTGTAGCTCGGTGATATAGCGTGCTTGGTATGCGGAACCTGTTGACTCTGTCCACAGCACCAAACTCACAAAAATCCACCAACCAACAAAAAAGGAACCTCTAACTCTTTTTTTTTTTAAATGGTACTGGGATTTGAACTCAGGACCTTCACCTTGAGCCACTTCACCAGCCCTTTTTTGTGATGGGTTTTTTGAGACAGGGTCTTGTGAACTATTTTCCCAGGCTGGCTTTGAACCTCAATCCTCCTGATCTCTGCCTCCTGAGTAGCTAGGACTACAGCCCTGGCCCTAGGTTACTTTTTTGTTGTTTTTTTTTTTTAGTTTGAACTCAGGCTTCTGCTTGCAAGCACTCTATAGTCTTTTTTTTTTTTTTTTCCTTTTCTTTCTTTTTTGCCTCTGGTTATTTTGGACTGAGGATATGGCTTGAATCATCTGCCTTGTAAGTGCAAGGACCTGAGTTAAAGTCTCAGTGCTGCAAAAAAACAAACAATCCCCAATCTCAGCCTCCTAGGATCAAGGATTACAAGGGTTAACGACCAGGTGCCTGCTGTTTGTTTTTAAGATATATCTACCTAGTCCATGCTGGCCTCAAGTGTGATGCTGATCCTCTTGCCTCAGCCTCCCAGTGCTCACCTGGCTTGTTTTTAACCAAGCTGAGGGATACACTGGAGGCATGCGAGGTCATACAGTTGGTTGAGCAACAGAGCAGAGTCTGGAATCCAGGTCCGTCAGGATTCCAGGGTGAGGTCCTGTTTCTCAACCTCGGCTGCATCTTGGAAAAAAGATTGAGATTTATGTCACACATTGTGGAATGCCCCACTTAGAGTGTACAATCAAGTGGGTTTTAGTTCATTTACACTAAATGGTTATGCACCCATCACTACTATAAAGCTCCAGAACATTCCATCACCCTAAAAGAAGCCCTGTCTTGGAGTGGCTCAAGTGTTACAACTCCTGCTAAGCAGGTGTGAGGAACTGAGTTCAAACCCCAGTGCTGACAAAAAAAAAGGGAGTTTTTGCTCCCATTTCTGCATGGGGAACAGGAACTCTCTTTTTCTCCCCCCTGACCTTTTTGCTCTCACTCTAGAGACAAATTGCTTTCAGTCTGTTGAAAGTGTAATCCTTTCCTAATAAACTTTACTAAAAGAAATAAAAAATAAAATAAAAAGCAAAGTTAGCCAAGGTTCAGTGGCTCACATCTGTAATCCCAGCTACTCAGGAGACTGAGGTTCGAAGCCAGCCTGGGCAAGTAGTTCATGAGATCCGATCTTGAAAAAAAAAAAATCACAAAAAAGAGCTGGTGGAGTGGCTCAAGTCGTAGACCCTGAGTTCAAGCCCCAGAACCGCAAAAAAATAAAGAGGCCCTGTCCTCAGGAACAGTCACCTGTCCCCTCCCCAGCCCCTGGCCCACAAGTCCACTTCCTGTCCCTGGATCCTCCTGTTCTGGCTGTGTCCTGTCAGTGTTTCGTCTATCATTCACTGCTAAATCGCTCCCCGGTTATTTCACTTTTTGGGTCACACTTGTATGAAGCTCTGTGTACTGTGTTCAAACACCTATTTTCATGTCTCTTGGGGACATTCCTAGTTGGTGACTTGCTGAGTGGAATGGTGACTCCACGTTTATTTAACCCTTTAAAAAAATGGCCAGACTGTTCTTAAAAGGAGATATACCTATATTGTAGGAATTTGCATGACTCATCCATGCATTTATACAATGAATACATATGGAACACTAGTTTAGGCTGACATTTTTAAATTTTTGAGACAGGGTGTCTCCATGAAGCCCAGGCTGGCCTTGAACTGACAATCCTCCTGACTCGGCCTCCCAAGTGCTGGGAGCATTACTTTAGGCCTGAGTGAAGTAGAGCATGTTGGTGGCCAGGAATTAGAGAGGAAAAAAAAGGAAGGAGTTGGGGACTAAGTACATCTTTCCAGTGACCTGCTTCCTCCAACCAGACCCCCCCCAAAGAATGCCATCTTACCTGAACCCAGCGAGGGGAAGCACACTGACCCCAGTGCTTGGGACCCAACCGCATCTCAGTGAGTGCATCCACCAGCTGGGGACATGTGAGCTCCCCTCCCCTCCCTTTCCCTCCCCTCCCCTCCCCTCCCCTCCCCTCTCCTCTCCTCCCCTCCCCTCTCCTCCTTTCTCTCTCTCAATATACATTAATTTACAAAGGGGTTTCACTGTGATATTTCCATAAAATAGACTTTGATCAAATTCATCCCTATTCTTTCTTGTCTCCCTGTCCCCCCAAAAAACAATTTTATGGACTTCATTATTATTATTATTTTTGGAGTATGGGGGTTTGAACTCAGGCCTCACGATCAGGTGCTCTCCCACTTATGCCGCTTCACCAGCCCCGTTATTATTCTGTTTTTGCACATGCATAGGAAGTAGTTCAATCCTATAGACCCCCTTCTCCCTCGCCTTTCACCCTCCCCGCCTGCTGATCCTCCCCGACACCTCCCCAGTCAGCCCTGTTTTCCACTCTTGTCATTCCTTTTTCTTTTTCTTTTCTTTCTTTGTTTTTTGTTTTTTTTTTTTTTTGCAGTACTGGGGTTTGAACTCAGGGCATACACCTTGAACCACTCCACCAGCATTTTTTTTTTCCTGTGTTGAGTTATTCTGAGATAGGGTCTCACAAACTCTTTACCCCTGCTGGCTTCAAGCTGTGATCCTCCTGATCTCTGCCTCCTGAGTAGCTGGGTTTACGGGCGTGAGCCACCACCACCCAGCTCCTTTCTTTTTGGTGGAATGGAATTTGAACTCAGGGTTTCACACTTGCAAAGAAAGCACTCTACAGCTTGAGCCACACCTCCAGCCCATTTTGCTCTGGTTATTTTGGAGATGGGACCTTGTGAACTATTTGCCTGGGCTGGCCTTGAAGTTCGATCCTCCCGATCTCAGCCTCCCAGGTAGCTAGGATTACAGATGTGAGCCACCAGCACCAGGTGTGCCATTCATTTTTTTTTTTTAATGTGGTATTTGTCTTTCTGAGTTTGGCTAGTTCCATCTATTTCCCTGCAAAGGATGTATTTTCATTCTTCTTTATGGATGAATAATCCTCCATTGTGTATATATACCACATTTTCTTTATCTGGTTATCTGTTGGTGAGCACCTAGGGTGATTCCACAGCTGGCTATTGTGAATAGTGGTGCTATAAACAATGATGTGTGTGTGTGTGGGGGGGGTCTCTATTGTGTGCTGACTGACATTCTTCCAGGTATATGCCCAGGATACAGGAGTGTTTTGTTTTGTTTTTTTTCTTTTTTGGTGGTACTTTTTTTTTTTTCTGTCTTTTTTGCTTGAACTCAGGGCCTCACACTTGCTAGGCAGATGCTCTATCACTTGAGCCACTCCACCAGCCCCTTTTCTGTGTTGCGTAATTTTGAGATAGGGTTTCTGGGACTATTTGCACTGACTGGCTTCGAAGCACCATCCCCCTGGTCTGTCTCCTGAGTAGCAAGGATTACAGGCGTGAGCCACCTGATTCTCACGAGTCTTTTTGACGCATACTTCATATCCGAACTATAACCATAGCTCAGAATGGACGGTGTTCTCCGTGATTCGATGCAACTGATCCAAACCAGGAGATCATAGGGAGGAAACTGGCTTATGGCAAAAACAAAAAATGATAGACCACAGGACTAGGGTGCAAGCCTGGGAGACCCTGGCTGAAGAGGTAAGTTTTGAGCAAATATCTATCTAAAAGACCCAGAAGTGGCAAGAAATGCAATGGCTGGGTTTGAGAAACAGGGGTGTGGAACAAGTGAGGGCAAGAGCACAAGCAGATGGGGGCAGGGAGCTGATGTGGACAGGTAGTTTAGGGTCTAACCGGCTGTAGGGAGAAACTAGGTTGCAGCACCTCCAGCCTCCGATGCTCACCAAGTCCTCGCACCCTTCCTTCCTTCCTTCCTTCCTTCCTTCCTTCCTTCCTTCCTTCCTTCCTTCCTTCCTTCCTTCCTTCCCTCCCTCCCTCCCTCCCTCCCTCCCTCCCTCCTTCCTTCCTTCCTTCCTTCCCTTTTTTTTGGTGATACTGGGGCTTGAGCTCAGCCTCATGCTTGCTTGGCAGGCACTCTACCACTTGAGCCACTCCACCAGCCCGCACCCTTCCTTTCCCACCCACCTTTTTCACATGCTCCCCGCCCAGTTCCTGATTCCAGCCACAGCCTGATCCAGGCCCTAACATCGCAGCATCCCAGCTTTTAAGACCTAGACATCATGCAATGTGCCCATTGCACAGACAGGAAAACCGAGGCTCTGGGGGAAGAGCAGACCAGAAGCCCGACTCACAGCAGGGCGAGAGGTCAGTGACCTAAGTTGACGGAATAAATGGGAGACCACACACCCACCGAGTTTTTGAAGGATGCTAAGAACAAGTCCGTTTTGCCAACGTGCTGTCTCTTTGGACCTTCACTCCTTCCTTAGCAACCTACGGCTGTTCCTATGGCAACTGGGGCGGAGCCCGAGCCGGATCCGTAGCTCTTCAGATCCGGCAGGGGCGGGGAGTCTTACCTTCAGCCGGGAAAAGAAGTCTGGGCCGCGCCTACTGGCCCTTTAAGAAGCTCCGCCCGGCGAGGCTGGCAGGCGCCGCCGATTGGTCCCGAGCGGGACCGAGCGCAGCCGAACTTGACGCACCGCCCGCAGTCGTCCCTTCCCACCTCCCACGCGGCTCAGCAGCTACCTCAGCCAATCACCGATGGGCGCGCCGACCTTCATCTGCATGGTCACGCCTCAGGGGGAGGTCTCAGCCAACGGGAGCACTCGCCGAGGCTGTCATTAGCATGCCGGAGGCGGAGCGGGGCGGGGCGGCAGACAGGGGCGGGCTCGGGGAGGTTGGTTGGAGCGTCGCCACAGTCGAAAGGTCCGGGAAAGTTTCTTTGGAGGTGAAAACAGCCGCGGAACTCGGGGCCCAGCGATGGGGCGGGGGCGCAGGGGTCTCGGGGCCGGGGCGGGGCCCTTCCCGGGCTGGGAGGACGCTGGCCCTGGCCTCCCGGGGGGCGATTGCCCAACAAAGGATTCCTGGGGCGCCCGCCCTCGGTGACTTCCCCGCCCCCGGATCCGGCCCCCCCAGGCGCCGGCTTTCGGGGCTCTCTCACCGAGGTGGGGGGCGGAAGTCAGCATCGGAGGCTCGGGCGTCCCCCATCTCCGCCCGCATCTGTGTTGCAGGTCCGGCCCCGAGCGGCCATGTCCCACGGCCCCAAGCAGCCCGGCGCGGCCGCCGCGTGAGTGAGCCGCCCTCAGCCCTGTCCGAGCAGCTGGACCCCCGCCCCAGCCCGCCCCCCAGGGTCCGGGCTTCCCCACGGGGCTCAAGGCGCCCCCATAGGTTTCTGCTTGACCCCATCACGAGTCCCCGATTCCGGGCTCCAGTCCCTCCCAGGACCCCGACTGTCCCTCAAAGTGCTCCAGTTTCGACTCCCAGACGCTGACCTCTGACCTGTCCCTTCCCAGGACTCTTGCCCCCTCGCGGCCAGCCCCACCATCGGTGGTCTCTAAACGCTTGGGGTGGGCGTGGAGGGACAGAGGAGGCTGTAGGGATGGGGGTGACATGGTGTCCTATGGCCCCAGGCCGGCGGGCGGCAAGGCTCCCGGGCAGCATGGGGGCTTCGTGGTGGCTGTCAAGCAGGAGCGCTGTGAGGGTCCGCGGGCCGGCGAGAAGGGGTCCCATGAGGAGGAGGTGAGTCCCTGCCCTGTTCCGGTGAGGCCCGGTCGCGCCCCTATTCTTGAAGCTCCTCCCCAGACCAGATTTGAATTCCTTGTGGCCCTGATAGCCCCACTGTGAGAAGCCACGCCCCCAACAGGTCCACTCTAAGTCCAGACTGAAGCCCGGTTCACTGCCATCTCCCTCTGGGCATCACCTTCCCCCACCGGGAGGCCACGCCCCCACGCCAGAGGCCACGCCCCCGGCCCCGGCCATCCTTTTATCTCCCGGGTTTTGACCACTGATTCAGGCCATACCTCCATCCGGCCCTGCGACGAGACCACGCCCACCATTGCCCCATCCTCTCCCCGCCCCACCCCTGCCCTCCAAGCCCCTCCCAACGACTCAGCCCTGTTCTGCAGCCGGTGAAGAAGCGCGGCTGGCCCAAAGGCAAGAAGCGGAAGAAGATTCTGCCAAATGGGCCCAAGGCACCGGTTACTGGCTATGTGCGCTTCCTGAACGAGCGGCGGGAGCAGATCCGCACTCGCCATCCCGACCTGCCCTTTCCCGAAATCACCAAGATGCTGGGCGCCGAATGGAGCAAGCTGCAGCCAGCGGAGAAGCAGGTGGGATCGCAAGGGGCACGCGGGTAGAGCCGGCTGCATTGGCTAACCACATCTCCCAGTCACATCCCTTGCAGCATGCATTGTGGAGAGTTCACCTTTCTACCTGGAAAACCTGACCCCCAGAATGGGCAGTAGTTAGGAACAGGCTGTTAAGACTGTTTCCCTCACAGGGCGAGAATAGATACAAAGCTTAATGACCAACCAACCAGGTTATGTCAAAAGACTCAGGAAGGCCGTGGTTTGTGTGTGTGTGTGTGGTGTGTGTGTGTGTGTGAAACCTTCCAATTTTCAAATCTTGGCAATTAGTTTAAAAATTGCATAAACCAGCTGGGCGCTGGTGGCTCATACCTGTAATCCTAGCTACTCAGGAGACAGAGATCAGGAGGATCACAATTGGAAATAGTTCGCCCGGGCAAATAACTCGTGAGACCCTGTCTCTAAAAAGCCCTCACACACACACAAAAGGCTGTAGGTCCCCAGTTCAAGCCCCAGTATCAAAAAACGAAAACAAACAAAAAAAACCCCAACTGATTAAAAATGGCATAAACCACCAGGAAATGCTCACAAACCACTGCCAACTTGCACCACCTGTTGAGAGGAGATTTCAGCGGGTAAAAATGGCGCAGTAGGGCAGGGCATGTATTAGCAGGGTCTAGACGGGGTTGCCTGCAGAGGGAAGGACGTGGGCCAGGAGTGGTTTGTAAGGACCCGAGTTAGGGCTGTGGGAGGTGCGATGGCTGCGGGGCAAGTTCGCTGAGTAGGAGGCTGAGGGAATAGGGAGCTATGGAACGTACAGGACAGTAAGCAGGGCACTGTCAGAGCTGGGTGATGGAGGCAGGGTCCTGGGCCTGGAGGGCTCCTCTCTGCCAGGCTGGGCCTAGCCTTCGGGTGCTACCCGCCCCCAGCGGTACCTGGACGAGGCGGAGAAGGAGAAGCAGCAGTACCTGAAGGAGCTGCGCGCATACCAGCAGTCTGAGGCCTACAAGGTGTGCACGGAGAAGATACAGGAGAAGAAGATCAAAAAAGGTGGGCGGGGCCCCGAGCCCCGGGGAGGGTGCCTGGGTGCCTGTTGTATGGGGCTCAGGTCCTGATCCAGAAAGAATATCAACCCCTCCAGTTCCCCCTCCCTTCCATGAGGACGGGGGCCCCAATCACAATGTCAAGGGCGTGGGTTTCACCCTGTGTCGAGATGGCCCGGGATGGGTAGGGCTGACCAAGGAGCTGACCCTGCCCTCATCCCTCCCCACCAGAGGATTCGGGCTCCGGGCTCATGAACACTCTCTTGAATGGACACAAGGTAAGAGCCCTCCTAGGTGCACAAGGACTGCACCTGGGGGATAAGGGTCTGGAAGTTGCTAGATTCCCGAGTGAGCCATGGAAGTGACCGCTGCGCGTCTAGGTGGGTGCGTCTTCTGGACTCTGTGGCTCCGTGGAGGCAGGGTGCCCCAGATCCCCCCAGCCTCTAAGCACCTCCCGGGACGAGTGGCTGCCCCCCAAACACATTGCCACTTTGTCCTAGGGCGGAGACTGCGACGGCTTCTCCACCTTCGATGTTCCCATCTTCACTGAAGAGTTTTTGGACCAAAACAAAGGTGAGCGTTAACTAGGGTTGTGTTGCTCGGGACTGATGGGGGCGGGAAACCGAGAGCGCAGCGGAAAGAAGGCCGAGCGCCGGGCAGAGCCCGGGCCAAGGCCGGGAGGCGGGCGGGGAGGGCGGGCGAGCGCCAAGCTCTGACCGGCTCCCCCGCACAGCACGGGAGGCGGAGCTCGGCGGCTGCGGAAGATGAACGTGGCCTTCGAGGAGCAGAACGCCGTGCTGCAGAGGCACACGCAGAGCATGAGCAGCGCACGCGAGCGCCTGGAGCAGGAGCTGGCGCTGGAGGAGCGGCGGACGCTGGCGCTGCAGCAGCAGCTCCAGGCAGTGCGCCAGGCGCTCACCGCCAGCTTCGCCTCGCTGCCAGTGCCAGGTGCGCGGTGCCGCCGCCCTTCGCCCCGCCCACGGCCCTCCAGCCCCGCCCACACCTATCCAGCCCACGCCCCCTCCGGCCCTGCCCATGCCTCAGCCCCACCCTCTCTGGCTGGGCTCCTCCCTCACCTGCTGGCTAAAGCCGACCCTGACCAGGTACCTAAGCGGCGTGCGTGCCCCTCTCTCCTCGCCATCCCAAATCTGCGTGGCCCTGCTGGCCCCACCTCCCTCTCAGGATCATCCATAGCCCTATCCCTGCTGACCCCTCCCCTTCCCCCAGCTCCTCCTTGGCCGGCTCCTCTGATCCCAAGCCCTCCTCATCTTCCACTCCCCCTCCCCCTCCCCGTTCCTCCTTCCTATTAATTCCTGGGTCCCTGCCTTGAGCCCCGTTTCTGCCCATCCAGGTGGCCTTGCTGTTCTCTGGCACTGGCCCCACCCGTGTCTGCGCTAATCCCTCTCTAGGTCTCCACCCTCCTCTGTAGCCCGGTGGGTCCCGAAGACCCTGCCCGTGTTAGCTGTCTTCTGCTAATACTGACGTTGATTGACCCCTCACCCTGCCACACTAACCGCGTCCAGAACCCAACCAACCCCATCGTCGGTGGCCTTGCTGTTCTCTGGCACTGGCCCCACCCGTGTCTGCGCTAATCCCTCTCTAGGTCTCCACCCTCCTCTGTAGCCCGGTGGGTCCCGAAGACCCTGCCCGTGTTAGCTGTCTTCTGCCTATAGCTGACGTTGATTGACCCCCTCACCCTGCCCACACTAACCCGCGTCCAGACCCCAACCAACCCCATCGTCACTGCCAGCTGTCCCCCTGCAGGCTTTGTCCCTGCTGACCCCTTGACTTCTGCCCCCGTCCCCACCCCCGAGGAGAGCCGGAGTCCCCCGGGCCGGCTGACCCGTTCCTCCGTAGGCACCGGTGAGACCCCGACGCTCAGCACTCTGGACTTCTACATGGCGCGGCTGCATGGCGCCATTGAGCGGGACCCCGCCCAGCACGAGAGGCTTATTGTCCGCATCAAGGAAATCCTGGCCCAGGTCGCCAGGTGCGTGCCAGCAGGAGTCCAGGGCGGATTGGGATGGCAGCCCAGCCCGACTTGGCCACAGTGGGGCTCCCAAAGCAACGACCCCGAAAGGTCTGTTCCAGGGCTTATAGGATGCGGCCACGAATATTAGGGGCACTGATAGGGCTGTGCCTCAGGTCAGTTACATTGGGGTGGGGAGTGGGAATGGCTAGACCTTGGCCTGTAGAACACACTGGGGGTGACCAGAACTCCCCCAGAGCTTCCTGGAGTGGATCCGGGCTGCCTGGATAGGTGGGCTTCCATCCAAGCCCCCACACTGGCCTGGCCTCTGCTTGGAGGATTCCCAGGAAAGGGTGATGCTGACTAATGAGGGGGTCCTTGTAATGTCCTCTTCTTTGTTACAGCGAGCACCTGTGAGGGGCAGGTGGCCTGTGATCCAGAGAAGCAGCTCTGGGCGCTGCTTTCCCCACCCCCACCAGATGGAAGAGAGGCTGGGCATCTGCCCTTTGGGGCCAGGCCCCATGCTGCACCTTGGGGGCTTTAGCCCCCCTAAAATTAAATTTCTACAGCATCTCTTTAGCTTTCAACCTCCCCAGTCCCTGAATCCAGAGAAAGCACCAGCTACTGGAGATGTGCCCAGAGCACAGGGCCACAGGGCCCTTCACACTACAGGACAGACCCACACCCTCCCACGTGGGAGCTACCAGGTTGCCCCCTGCACAATCCGGACCCCAGATTGCTCACCTCTGGGCTACCTGACGTGGCACGTGGGCAGGGAGGCACTGGGGAGATAGCCTTACAGTTGCGGGGATGAGAAGGACCCCTGGGATCCCTTCCCTCTGGCAGGGAGACTGGGCCCTCCTGGAAACAACCCCTTCCTACACTCAATCCAGACCTTTTAAATAAAAACAAGTGGAATATGTGTTCCAAGCTTGTGAGCGTGTAGCTTTCAGGGGTGGGCCAGGAGGTATACCCACCCAGGATCCCCTATTTTATCTCTTTTGGGGGTACCAGGCCTGCCCTCTTACCTCTGGCAGAGCCCTGTTTTTTCAGATGGAGAAACTGAGGTCCAGGCTTGGCTGGGCTCATAGAGGAAGACAGGTCACCCATCCCCCACCCTGTTGGATTAGGCACACGCTGGAGACTTGGGGTCCAGGGGCTGGTGCTTGACCACTTGGTTCATCCTTGGACTGCTCTTCCTGACCTCCCCATGACATAAACTTGGCTGCTAAGTTGTGTTAAAATGCACGATTCAGTGATATCTAGTATATTCAGAAGGTTGTACAGTGATCTAGTTCCAGAACGTTCCTTCACACCAAAAGGAACTTCCTACCCTGATGAGCCGTCACCCCAACCCCTGCGCCCATGAGTTCACTTCCTGTCTGTTCTGGGCGTGTCCTATCAATAGAGCCACAACTGTGTGCTTGTGTGTGTCTGCTTCTCTCACTGAGCACAGTGTCCTCAGGGTTCCTCCATGCTGTAGGATGGGTCACGGCTGAGTGATATTCCAGGGATGACCATGTTGTGTGTGTCCATCTGTCCCTCCGTGGACACTTGGGCTGGTCTTCCTCTTGGTTGCTGTGAGCATACGTGCACTGACTCCTGTTTCAACCCCTACTTTCAATATTTTTTTGCAGTACTTGGATTTGAACTCAGGGCCTGCATCTTGAGCCACTCCACCAACCCTTTTCTGTGATGGGTTTTTCAAGATAGGGTCTCTCGAACTATTTGCCCTGGCTGGCTTGGAACTGTGATCCTCCTGATCTCAGCCTCCTGAGTAGCTGGGATTACAGACGTGAGCTACCGGTGCCTGGCCACTGTGAATTCTCTTGGTTCTATGAGTTGCTGGTCATATAGAAATCTGTGTTTCACTTAGGGAGGGGCTTCCCAGAGACTTCTGTTTACCTAATAGGATATTGAAGACACCTGAAAAGTTTGGGCAACGTGACAGGCACCCATGCTATTATGGGGTAGAATTGTATTCTCCCCAAAGTGTGTTCAAGTCCTTACCCCAGACCTTCTGAGTGAGACCTTATTTGGAAATAGGATAGCTTACAGATGTAATTAGTTAAGATGAGGTCACACTTGAGTGGGGTGGACTCTGAGCCAAGAACTGACGTCTTTACAAGAAGAGAAAATTTGGACACAGACAGCAGACAGATGTCGGAACCACAGAGGCAGAGACTGGTGACACATCTGTAAGCCAAGGATGACCAAGGTCTGCCACTGGCCACCAGAAGCTGTCAGGGCCCAGAAAGAAACTCTGTCCAAGTCTCAGAGGACCCAGCTGATACCATGATTCTAGAATTCCAAACTCTGGAACCAGAACAGAATCGATTTCTCATGTTTTAAGTCACCTGGCTGGTGGCACTCTAGGGAGACTAATATGACCAGACGCTATCAACCCCTCTCCACCCACCCCACATCTCCTGGCACAGGAAGCCACAGCCCAAATTTAAGTTTACCATTACTGGGCAGGACCTGCTTTTCTACGACCTATGTAGTTCTCCCTAAAAAGTACCATTTTGCAATCGTTTTTTGTTTACGTAATTTTTTTTTTTTAGTATACAAGTCAGTGGATTTTAGTACATTCAGAGTTGTGTGACCAGCACCTCTATATAATTCTAGCACATTCTGTTACCCCCAAAAGTAATTTCCATCTCCATGAGCAGTCACTCACCCGTGGTCTCCCAGTCCCTGGCACTGTCTCTGGATACTTCCTGTCTTTGGATTTGCCTGTCCTGGCCGTTTCCTATCAATGGAGTCGCACGCTGTGTCCTTGTGTGTCTGCTCCTCTCACCGGATCCTCAAATCAGCACTGCGTCCGCAAGGTTCCTCCACACTGTAGTGTGGGTCAGGCTTGGCAGGTTGTTAAACTTTTTACTAACTTCCTTCCATCATGCAAAACCTCGAGCGGCTTGTTTCCTTCCATCGATGTCTTTTGTGTAATTCCCAAGAGACAATGGCTGTCACTGGCTCAGCCAGTGACAGGATGGCACCCATGTGACAGGAAACTATGGAGTCCATATCCCTGAGCAGCAACACTGATGGATGGCCAGGTGGGTTCAGCACTGTCTTCATACAAGGCTTTTGTTACCCAGAGCCCCTTCTATAACCTGGGGACCCATTGTCCCCTCCCAAGATTGCCCGAGGGCCCCAGTGTGCCAGGCATTGTGGGCAGCTCCAACCATACAGCAACACAGGAAAAGACCCAAACTGTGTCCTGGAGCTGGTCTTGCCTTTGGGGACACACAGGACACAAGGTGAGGAAGTGATACATCGGTTTTTTGGGGTTTTTTTTTGAGGGGGGGAGAGGGAGGCAAGGTCTTGCTGTGTAGCCCAGGCTGGCCTCAAACATGAGATCCTCTTGCCTCTGCCTTCCCAGTGCTGGAATTACAAGCAGGAGCCACCATGCCTGGCACAAGTGAAATATGCTAACAAGTCAGAAGTGCCTTTAAATGTTAAGGAGAGGCATCAGATGGGGGCAGAGGGCTTTGGAGGTGGTGAGCGAAGAGCTAATGAGCAGCGCTCTGGGGACAGGGGAGGCAGGAAGGACAATGGGCAGGTCTGGTAAGGCCTAGTGGGCTGTGAGGAGGACTTGGACTTTTCCTCTAAGGAAAGTGGGAGCTATGGAGGGCTGTGGACAGAAGAGGGATGGAATGAATGTAGCTCAGGTTATACCAGCATAACTGTCCTTCCTCAGTCCTCAAGGTCGTTGCAAGGATTAAATGACCTACAGCCTCAGGAACCTCAGCTGCCCTGGTCCTACTTTGTGATCCTTGTTTTTCGTGGGTTTGCAGCCCAGGTCCCTGCGGACCGCCAATCGTCCCCGCCAGTCCCCGGGGAGGGTGCAGCTGGCCCTGGCAGGGCCCGGACACCTGGGACCCGTGCCCCCCTCCGCACCCCGCGGTGTCGCCTTTCCGGGCAGCTCGGGTTCCCAGATCCCCTTACCCGGGCGGCTCGGCTGTCGCGCCCTGGACCGGGGGAGGGGAGGCTGCAGGAAGCGGCGGATCCGGCGTCGGCGGTGGCGGCGACGGCCCGTTTGGGTGGCCGAGCTTCTCCGGCCATGGAGGGCGCTGCGGCCCGCGAGCCCCGGGGGGACCGGGGTGACCAGAGGGCCGAGAGCCCGCGCGCGCCCGCGCCCCCGCCATCTCCCGCGGAGCCCCCCGCGCCCCGCGCGCGCCCGCGCCTCGTCTTCCGCACGCAGCTGGCGCACGGCAGCCCCACGGGCAAGATCGAGGGCTTCACCAACGTCCGCGAGCTCTACGCCAAGATCGCGGAGGCCTTCGGCATCGCGCCCACCGAGGTGAGGCCCCCCCCAATGCCCGCGCTCCAGGTGCGGGGCGCAGCCTGGGATCCCCGGTCGCCGGGGAGGGGGCGAAGAGCCAGGTCACAGCGCCGCGCCTCTCAGATTGCGAGGGGCCATGTCCCGGACACCCTTGGCCCTGCGCCAAAGACGAGCGGTCTTGGGGACAGGGGTCCCTCATCTTCCAGGGACCCTCCGCGGACCCAGCTAGGTGTGGGTCCCAACCCTCGGGGAAGAGCCTCTGTGGCTCCGGGGACTGGGACCCGTATAGTGGACAGTCTGTGCTGCGGGGGGTCGGGGGCTTGAGGCTGTCCCAGCCGGCCTCCTCCGCCCTGCAGCCCCCAGGGGGCGCCAGCGGGCTCCCATCTTCCTGAGAAGCCCCGAGTGAGGGGGGGCGGTCACACCTAGAGGTCGGGGCGCGGGGACCGGGGTCTCCTACTGCCCGCAGCCCCTGCTCAGCCCTTTCCCACTCTCGGGGTCCCACCCCTGCTGTGTCTCTGGGGGCGGTCCTTGTGCCAGTTCCGGGACTCTTTGGGCCTCAGTTTCCCCGTCATCCATCCGGGGCGTGCGCAGGCAGGGAAACTAAATGGCCAATTCTGGGGCTGTGGCTAATTCTGGACTCCCCTCCGCTGCGGGCAGATCTTGTTCTGCACCCTCAACAGCCACAAGGTGGACATGCAGAGGCTGCTGGGGGGACAGATCGGCCTGGAGGACTTCATTTTCGCCCACGTGCGAGGGGAGACCAAGGAGGTGGAGGTCACCAAGACGGAGGACGCGCTGGGGCTGACCATCACGGACAATGGGGCCGGCTACGCCTTCATCAAGGTGCCCAGGGCGGGAGGGGACTTTCTGGGTGCCTGGTAATCTAAGTAGGCCCCGGGGACCCCAGGGGGCTGCCATTGCGCCATCAGCGACTCTGGGTCCCCGCAGAGGATCAAGGAGGGCAGCATCATCAACCGCGTCGATGCAGTGCGCGTGGGCGACGGCATCGAAGCCATCAACGACCACTCCATCGTGGGCTGCCGCCACTACGAGGTGGCCAAGATGCTCAGGGAGCTGCCCAAGTCCCAGCCCTTCACCCTGCGCCTGGTGCAGCCCAAGAGAGCCTTCGGTGAGAGCCACCTGGGGCCCAGGGTCAATGGGGAGCAAGTGCAGAAAAATGGGTTCTTGGGGCAGCGGGGGGATGGGGCAGCGGGGGAGGGGGAAATGGGGCAGCGGGGGAGGGGGAAATGGGGCAGCAGGGAAGGTTCTAGGGGCATGTGGTGTGTGCTGAGCTCCTGGCGCTGGGTTGGGAGCAGGCAGAGCGTTTGTTGATTGACTTGGTTATGGGGGAGGGGAGGTGTCCGGCTCATCTTGTCACCCAAAAAGTAGCTCTGAGAGGTTCCAAAGGAGGGTGTACAAAGAAAGTCCTAGAATGGCACTTTCCTTTTTTTTTTTCTTTGTTTTGGCGGTACTGGGGTTTGAACTCAGGGCCTCACGCTTGCTAGGTAGGTGCTCTATTGCTTGGGCCATTCCACCAGCCCTTTTCTATGAGGGTTTGTTTTTTTTTTTCCAGATAGGGTCTCATAACTATTTGCCCAGCTGGCTTCCAGCTGCAATCCTCCTGACCTCTGCCTCCTGAGTAGCTGGGATTACAGTCGGAGCCACTAGTGCCCAGCTGAATGGTGCTTTTCAAAGGGAAAGAGCTTGCTTTAGGACACCATTTCTCCCCCTCAGCACTGTGGACAATTGGAGCCCAGTGGTTTTCTGGGGTGGGCCTCCACCTACTCCATGCCAGGTGTGCCCCAGTCCTGAGAACCACGGATGTCCCCAGACATGGATGGCACAGGGCCCCTAGGGGCAGGATCACCCCCAGTTGAGCAGCTCTGTTCTAGAATGCATAGCATCCTGTTTAGTCACTTTTGGGGGGCTGTGCTGGGGATGACTCAGGGCCTCTCCTATGCTAGGCAAGGGCTCTACTACTGAGCTGCACCCCGGAATAGCATTTTTTGGGGGGGAGGTGACACTGAGGTTTGAACTCAAGGCCTCACACTTGCTAGGCGGGCACTCTACCATGGGAGCCCCAGCCCTTTCGCCTTATTTTCCAGATAGGGTCTCTCAGTTTTTGCCTCATCTGGCCTTGCTTGGGCTGTGATCTTTTTACTTCTGCCTTGCAAGAAGCTGGGATTACAGACATAAGCCACCTTGCTCTATTTAGTCATTTTTTTTTCATAACGAATTTCAAAGCAAAGAAGGCAGTATTTTGATTTATGCCTGGCACATTTGCCTTACCTCATCATGGACAGGCCCCTTTGGGCCTCACTGTGCAGAGCAAGAAGCAAAGACTCCACACGGGCTTCTAGGTCCCGAATGACGGTTGTGAACTCTGAGAGCCCTGCCTGAAAGTTAGGAAGAGCAAGTTCTGTAGCGAGGGCTTTTCTGGATTGACCGTCTAGCTAAGAGGATGGTCTCAATTCACACCCTCTAGAATCATCTGAAGAGGAAGGGGGGCAGAACTGGAGACCCACTGTGGTAGAACAGCTTTTCTGGACTCATGGGTTACTTTCTTGGGGGCAAGAAGAATATTGAATGGGGTCTCTGAAGGTGGAGGTAAGGAGGACTTTGAAGGGGGAGAAGGTTCTAGAAAGGCTCAGAAGTTTCTAGAAAGCCTCCCAGTGTCTACAAAGGAGTGGAGTGGATTTTCTGCATCCAGAACATAGGCGTGTCCCCCACGTGTCCCCTGTAGATATGATTGGCCAGAGGAGCCGCAGCAGCAAGTGTCCCGTGGAAGCCAAAGTGACCAGCGGGAGGGAGACCCTGCGGTTCCGAGCTGGGGGCGCCGCCACAGTGGAGGAAATGGTGAGTGACAGGTGCTGGGGTTCGCTTAGTCTCAGAGCCTCAGTTTCCCTGCCCGTGCAATGGGGCCTGATTGGGCAGGGCAGTAATGGTGGCTCCAGTGCACGGTCGTGAGGGGCATCTGGGGGATCAGACCTGAGGCCTCTGCTTGTCCCCTGCACCCCAGCCCAGTGAGTTTGAGGAGGCTGCGTCTCAGAAGGTGGACGACCTGCTGGAGAGCTACATGGGCATTCGGGACCCTGAGCTGGGTAAGGGGCCAGGGTAAGCTGGGGGCCCCTGGAGGGAGGATGCCCGGGAGGAGGTGGGGTCCCAGGGGACACTGGGGCCAGGAGCGCCCTCACCCTGCCCCTGCCCGCCCGCAGCATCGACCATGGTGGAGACGTCCAAGAAGACGGCGAGTGTCCAGGATTTTGCGCGCTGTTTAGACTCGGTCTTGGGCGAGTTCGCCTTCCCGGACGAGTTTGTGGTGGAGGTGTGGGCCGCCATCGGGGAGGCCCGGGAGGCTTGTGGCTAGTGTGTCCGGGGCCGAGCGCAGCCCCAGCCCGGAGCCCAGCCCCCTGCCCCAGCCCTGCTCCAGCGCCAAGACCAACTCTAGAACCCAATCCAGTTCCGAGACCCAAGCCAGGTCCACAACCCAGTCCTGCTCTAGAACGCGGCCCAGCTCTGAGAGCAAGCCCTATTCTAGAACTCAGGTCAGCTTTGAGACCAAGCCCAGCTCCAGAGGCCAGCCAGGCTCCGACACCAAGCCCTCTTCTAGAGTTCAGGCCAGCTTTGAGATCAAGCCCAGCTCCGACACCAAGCCCTGTTCCCGAACTCAGGTCAATTTTGAGACCAAACCCAGTTTGAGAGCTGAGCCAGACTCTGAAACCAACCCCAGTTCTAGAGCCCAGTTCATCTATGAGAACAAGCCCAGCTTTGAGAGCAAATTCTATTCTAGAACTCAGGCCAGCCTTGAGACCAAGCCCAGCTCTAGAGGCCAGCTAGGCTCTGAGACGAAGCTCACCTATGGAACCCAGCCCAGCCCTGACTTCAGGCCAGCTGCTGAAACCCAGCCCAGTTCAGAGATGATTCTCAGTTCCAGAAACCAGTCCAGCTGTAAGTCCGAGCCTGGCCAGAAAACTCAACCCAACTCTGCAACTCAAGACCGCTCATTGGTCCAGCCCTTCCTAGACATTCAGTCCAGCTCTGGAGCACCACTGAGTTTTGGAACTGTGGTGAGATTCAAGAAACAGCCCAGCTCTGGAGCTGAAGCCAGCTCTCAGCCCCCAGGGTGTCCCAGAACTCAGAGCAGCTTGGGAAGCCATCCGCACGTTGCCGTCCAGTCCAGATCCAAACCTCAGCCCTGTTCTACAACCCGGCTGCTCCCAGGTGCCTCCCTCAGGGATGCGTCCTGGTCCAGCTCCGGCGATGAGTCCAGCTTTGAGGCTGAGCCCAGCTCTAGACCCCAGCCTGCTGCTCCAAGCAGGCCCATCTCCAGAGTTCAGACTGGCTTTGGAACCGCATCCATCCCTGAAGGAAGGCCTGGAGCCGAGCCCCAAGGCCCCTGCCGATCACAGACCAGAATGCAGTCCACCTCTGGAACCCAGACTGACTTTGAGACCTGGCTGACCTCTGGAGCTCAATCCAGCTCAGGCGACCCTCCCAGCTATCGAACCCAGCCTGCCTCTGGAGCACAGACTGGTTTTGGCAACCAACCCAGCTCGGAAACACAGTCATTTGAGACTGAGGAGAGTTCCAGAACCCAGCTGAGCTCTAGAAGTCAGTCTAGTTGTGGGACAAAGGCCAGTGAAGCCTCAGAGCTAAGCTCCAGAACCCAGATGAATGCAAGAATCCAGCTCAGCTCTGGAATCTCCTTTACTTCCAGAATCCAGCCTATTTCTGGAACCCAAAAGAAGCCCCAAACTCCAACCAGCTTTGAGACCCAGCCCAGCTATGGGGCCCAGGCTAGTGCAAGAATTCAGCCCAGCTCTGGAACTCAGTTTAGTCCCAGGATTGAGTTCAGCTCAGAAACCCAGCCCAGCTCTGGAGTCCATGTTAGCTCCAGAACCAATCCTCTTTCTAGAACCCAGCCCAGCTCCAGAATCCAGCTCTGCCCTCAAACCCCTGGCCTTGACGCTAGAATCCAGCCGGATCCCCTCTTGCCAGCCCAATCTCAGTCCCCAAGCCCACCTCCCAGAGCCCCAACTCCAGCCCCCAGCAAGGTTCCTGGGCCTCAGTGTCAGCTCCATGCTTTGGGACGTGGAGCTCAGGCCAGCCCTGGCTCAGTGCGAGGTCCCCCAACCTCTTCCCTGGCCCCCCAGATCCCGGTCTTCTCCACCTCCCAGAAGCCTGCACTTTCCCCCAAGCCCCAGCTGGGACCCCCGAAGTGTACCCCACCCACCATATCAGTCAGTCCTAGCCCAGCACCCAGGGTGGCCACCCTGCAGTCCCCTGCATCCCCAGCTCAGGGGCTGTGCCCCTCCCCTGTGCTAGGGGAGTTTGGTCCCTCCCTCACTGATGGTACCTCAGAGGTGACATCTGGCTCCTGAGGCCCACCCTCACCTGCCTCCCCCAGCCTGGGTCAGCAGACTAAGCTGGTGCCCTCATCCCCGCCAGGAGAGGTGGCTGGGTGGATGGACAGGAGTTGGGCTTCACTGGGTGGGAAGCAGATCACCCTTAGAGGGAGCACAGGAGGCCTGTGCCTCGCGGGGAATAAAGGCACCTTGCACCCGGCTGCTGCGTGTGTCATTTTGGGGGAGGCATTTGGGGAGGGGAGGGCTGAGCCAAAGGCTACTTGGCAGCACTGGGTGCTCGTGAGGCCCCCGGTGTACACCTGGCGCCCTGTTAGGCACTGCCCCGGCCTGAGAACACCATCAGTGGGTCAGTTCACAAGTTTATTGGGACCTGCTGTGCCACAGTTGGTGTCTCAGGTCCTGGGGCTCCAGTGTTGAGGGGGGCTGGAGTGGAGGATCCCGGGACTGTCCCCAGCGACTTATGAGGCCTCCCCGCTTTCCTCGCTGCACAATGAAGCGAGTCCCAGAACCTCCCCGAGGAGTCCAAAACCCTCCAAAACCGGGGTCCGCGGCCCGCTGCGCCCCGCGCCCAAGGCCACCGACTCCTCGGGCGTCCCGGCTCGGTTCTGGCGGGAGACAGGTCGCCCCCTCCCTGGCACCCCCAGTTCGGGGGACCGAGCCCCCACAGCCGACTTCTCCCACACGGCCCCGAATTCCAGCCGCCAGGGGCTGCGAGGAATTGGGGGGCGACAGCCTGGAGGGCGGAGGGAGAGGACCTCAGAGAGGGGCGGGGTGGCGGGGGCAGGGGTGCGGGGTCCCCACGGGCGTCAGGGGACAGGGCTGGCCCCGCGGACCCGGCCCCTCGCTGCTCCGGGCGCCCGGGACGTCCTCGTGGGCCCGGCCGGGGCTGGCGGTGGCGGTGGCGGTGGCGGTGAGCGCGGGTGCAGGCGCCGCAGCACGGCGCGGCGGAACAGGATGTACACCCAGGGGTCCAGGATCTGGTTCCAGGTGGCCACGCGCAGGTAGATGAGCAGCTGCTGCTCGGTGGCCCGGGACAGCTGTCCCGCGGGGCTCATGGCCGGCGGGGTCCGCAGCACCGTCTGCGCGATGAACACCTGCGGGGTTTCAGCGTTAGCCGCGCTGTGTGACCTGGCGGGCGGCGCGCCCTCTCTGAGCCTGTCCCCGCGCGGGCCCGGGTGCCCAGCAGGGGACACACTGTCCATCCTGAAACTTCAGATGCGACCACTTACACTTTGTCTTGTCCCGTGAAAGGCTTTTATGTCACATCATGTAACTTTTATGTTTTATAATAGTTTTTTGGCGGCACTGGGGTCTCAAGCGTGCTGGGCAGGCAGGCGTTCCGCCACTTGAACCAGGCCTTTTTTTTTTTTTTTTTCTGTGTTTTTTGAGGTGCTGGGATGAACCCAGAGGCTCTCACAGGCTAGGCAGGTGCTCACCACTGAGCCAACCCGCAGCCCAAACATAATATTACATAAATATAAAATTTATATTTATTACTAACACATGGTCGAAATGTTCTAGCAAATCAGTGTACGGTGTAAAATGATTTTAAAATGTCAGTTCTATAACTATGTAGTTATTATTTATAACTATGTGTAATATTCGATATTATGCACTTGTGTGTTACTTAAAACGTAAGTACTACTATGCTGTACATATCTTCCACTTATACTTAATTAGAATTAAAATTTGTATTGTATTAAAATAATTTCCATTTTGTTAAAATGCATCGCTGTGTTAAAATTATTATTACTGGTGGTGGTATTGGGATTTGAACTCAGGGATTTAGGGTTACAGATGTGAGCCACCAGCACCTGGCCAGAATTATTTTCTGAGCACTCACTCACTTTGTGCAGATGAAGCTTGGGACAGCAGGCCCCAGGCCAGGCCCAGGCTCCATCCTCACAGGTGCACAACGGGGGGGGGGAACCCCTGTGCCCTGGTCTCCCCCACAGCAGCCACCAGGGGGTGCCCGTGAGCACCGAGCCAGGCCCTCCCTCCCCTGCCCACAGCCCTCCATGGCTCCCACCTCCCTCAGGCTCAAAGCCCAAGTCCTCCCTGCAGCCCACAGGGCCAGGAAAGCGCTCACCACTGAGCTGCATCCCCAACCTGAGACTGCATCTTGCTGTCCCCCGAAATCAGAGGGGATGGAGCCCCAGACGGCCAACTGCAGCCATTGAGAGAGAAGACTTGTGGCCCAGCATGGTGGCACACGCTTGTAATCCCAGCTGCTCGGGGAAGTTTTCCTTGTTAGCCCACGTAGAGCCTTGAAGACCCTTGTCTGGACTTCTTGGTCCCAGGGTGCTGAATGTAATTTGGGGGTCCTTTGTGTCTTCCTCTTGTGCTCCATAAGGAAGGGCACGTGAACACAGAGCCCTAAATCTGGACCTGAGGGAAACTGACCCCCCTCGCCCCCCCACCCCGGACCCCCAGCCCGGCACTCACCAGCAGTGGCATCCAGCACACGCTGGCCACCACCATGATGCCCAGGAGCTGGACCATCATCTCCACCTCGCAGTCCCGGGGCCGCTGCTGGGCGGCCTCGGCACCGTGGTAGACGCGGCACAGGGTGGCCACGCTGACGGTGTTGAGGAAGAAGGACAGCGCCACGGACAGGCCGCCGAGCAGCGCGAAGAGCAGGCCAAAGGCCACGTCGCCGGGCCGCGCGCCCAGCGTCAGGAAGCACCAGGAGCCGGGGTACTGCACGGTGTAGCGGCCCAGGCCCAGCAAGGGCAGCAGCCCCAGCCCCAGCGCCACGGCCCACACCAGGGCCACCGTGGCCCAGGCCCGGCGGGGCGACGCCATGGCCGGCCGCGAGAAAGGCCGCGTGATGCCCAGGTAGCGCTCCGAGGCCATGGTGGCGCCCAGCAGCAGCGGGCACAGGCCGAAGAAGACCATGGCGACACCCATGAAGTGGCAGAGGCGACAGCTGGGGTCCACGGCCTGCCAGTCGAAGAGGACGGCGTGCTGGGACACCACGATGACGCCGGTGACCAGCAGCCCCAGGAAGTCGGTGAGCACCAGGCCGCAGAGGAAGGTGAGGAAGGACGAGCGGGGACACTGGCGTGCGGCCGACAGCACACTCAGGGCCACCAGGTTGGAGGCCAGGCCCACCACGCAGAAGGAGGCGGCGAACCAGGGCGAGGCGATCAGGCCACGGTCCTCCCGGGTGATGTTGGTGGGCCGGAAACAGGGCCCCCAGCTGTCGTTGGCCCACATGGCGCCCCAGCTGCCTGGCGCCATCGGTCACCACCCCATCGGGGAGAGGGGGCAGGCTCGGCGGGCTGACACTGGCTCAGGCACACCTGGCAGAAGCAGAGGGAAGATTGGTTGGTCACTCTGCACACCAGGCTGAGTGACTCTAATGAACTCCTACCCAGTCTTCAATGCCCGAGCACAAATACACCCTCCTTGAGGAAGGCTTACCTCCCCCGCCCCCCATTATTACTACTGCTAGTTGTTCTGCTGTTTCTTCCTCCATTTCTGTCTTCCTTAGACTCCAGGGACCCTTCAGAGGGATCAAGTGTGGTGGGGCACATCCGTAATCCCAGCTGCTAGGAAGGTCTGACCTGGCAAAAACTCAAGACTCTATCTGAAAAATAGCTAGGGCAAAAAAGGACTGAGGACGTGGTTCAAGTGGTAGAGCGCCTGTCTAACAACTACAAGGCCCTGAGTTCAAACCCCACTACAGCCAAAGGAAAAAAAAAAAGTTAAAGTAAAAAGAGGAGGACCATCTCCTCTGGGACCCCAGGAAGTATTTTTTGGGGTCCCAGAGAAGGGTCCAGGGACATATGGCTTTGAACTCCAGCTCTGGTGCTCACTATGTGACCCCCCCACCCTGAGCCTCAGTTTCCCCATTGGTCACCCATCCAAAGTCCTTGGTCGACTGCAGAATCAAAAATATTTCAGTCATTTGAGAGACAGAAATCCCAACCTCGACAATGCGTCTAGAGTGACCAGCCGTCAGTGGAGGGCCACCCAGCGCCGAGGGTCCCCATTTCTCACAGATGCCCCGGGCGGGCGGGAAGCCCTCCTCCTCTCTGGTGCTTTTAGGGAAGCCAGGGGCGTTCATGTCCTTCCTCGCACATGTTGGAATTGTGTGATTACTTTTTTCCACTTTCGCAGCGCCATTTTTATAATAAGAAATGAGCCCAGAAGTCCCAGTTCCATTTTGGGAACAAAAAACAGCTCACTTGCCACAACAGCTTCCCCAGGGACAAGTCAGAGAAGGCAGCGGGTGGCTGGGTGTGGTGATTCATGCCTGTAATTCCAGCTACTCAGGGGTGAAACTTGGGAGGATGGAGGTTCAAGGCCAGCCCAGGCTAAGAGTTAGGGAGACCCCATCTCAATCAACAAAGTGGGCATGGTGGCAATGCTTGTAACTGACAGGCAGAGGGAGAAGGATCATGGTCTGAGGCCAGCCCTGGGCAAAAACACAAGACTTTCAAAAATAACTAAAGCAAAAGTGGGCTGGCGGCGTGCTCAAGTGGCAGGGTGCCCGCCTTGCAAGCTCACGGCCCTGAGTTCAAACCCCAGAGCCGCCAATAAATAAAAAAGGAAAGAAAAAAGAAAAAAAAAAAAGGGCAGCTTCTGGTTCCCAAAGACAGGAAGGACACTCAAGTACAGAGTGAAAGCCAGGCGCGGTCGCCCCGGTGTTGGGGATGAGCCCAAGGCCTCACGAGCTGGACAGCTCACCACGGAGCCACGCCCCAGCCCTCAGCTTTCTTAAAAGTTGGCCAGACGGGATTGAGAGGTGACCCTCTGGCTGACCTTGGGCTTGTCACGTGTGACTCGCAGCCTCTGCTTCCCTCCCTGTAGAATGGGGCTGCCGAGGCGTTCCATGAATAGACAGCGTGTCTAGCACACAGTAGGTGCTCAACTGGTGCTGGCCCCGGGCAGGGCTGAAAGTATCTGTGGGAAGCCTCATTGTCGCCTTGGCTCAGCTTCCCACTATGGAGACTCATAAATTTTCCAGTCCCAGACAGCTGCCCTGACGTCCCTCCAGCCGGCCCAGAGCCAAGGCTTCTGCCAGTCCGCGGGGCCAGACCTCCCGTGGGAAACTGAGTCCCAGACAGCCAGCAAGGCGGGGTGGTGCGCTCTCCATGGCCATGGCCATGGCCACGGCGACTGGCACCCTGGGCTCCAGGCAGGGTCTGCTTTGCTGCCTCCCTTGTCCCCCTGGCTCCCCCAGAACAGGGCGCCTTCCCTCCCCAGCTGGTATGCGCTGTTTCCAAACATCCCCATGCATCTGGGCTGTGCCTGGAGTGAAGGCCTGTCCTTCTTGGGTCTCATGGTCCCCTGGTCCACTCTAGTATGTGTCTCAGAGATGCACCTCCCTGTCTGGGGACAAACCCATGACGCAGAGCTCTCTGCTGGGGGGGAGGGTGGAGGCTGGCCCCACAAGTCCCTCCGGTCACAGCTGGTGGTTTCCAGTCCCTTCCCCTCCTCCCTAGCCGGGTTCAGGTGATAGTGGCTGTCTCAAGTTCCCCAGGCAAGCGCACCACTTAGGGGGACCTGGCATAGCCTCCCATGTTGACCAGAAGGGATGGCAGGGCCCCCACCACACCACGAGAGGTAGGAAACAGTGCTGTGTGGCCTTTGGAGGAGCTGCTCTCCTTCTCTGTGCCCCACAGGAGGCGTGGAGAACCTCAGAATCCCTGGGCCACACAGTGCAGAGGTTTGGACTTGGAGGGTCCATGGCCTGGGAATTCTGATGAAACCCCTGTTGTGCACCCTAAGATTCTGGAATTCTGAGAGGCGGGGGCTTCAGTGGGTCCTGGGGTCCCTGTCTCAGCTCCTGGCTTCTTTCTGGGGGTCGGACACAGAGCTCTCCATCGGGACAGGGCCTCCCGTGCAGGGCACAGGCACTGGGCGCCATGCCCGAGACCGCCCAGCTCGCAGAACGTGATGTTGGATTCCCAAGCGCCAGGCCCTTGCTCCTCCCCAGCCACCGCTCAGCCTGTAGCAGTCCCTCTGCCACTCGCCCGGCCCCTGGCCTTCCCCACATCCTGGGTAGTCTTGCTTTCCTGATGGGCCTGGACTCTCAAGGTCCCTCTGCCTGCCACCTTGCCAAGTGTCAGTTTCCCACTCTGGGAAATGACGATCAGTCATTGCTCTGCCCAGGCCTGATCAGCTCCTGCAGCAGCCTTGGCTCGTGCCCTGGCTGGGTGTCAGTGAGGTGACCTTGTCTTCCCTAAGACCCTGACCATGTCCCGTGTGGCTGCCTGCACTCTTTAGCCTGAAGTCAAAGGACCAGGCCAGCCAGGGGACCAGGACATACCCATGTTAGATTCTCTCATTAGTGTCACAGATGCCCCTGCAGATGTGTGCATGACACACCCCTGGCCTGCACACCCCTTCACCACAGGGCTCTATTTCCGGGAACTCTTCCTGTTTGTGACACTATTGAGGCCCCCAGCCCGAAAAGCACAGGTGGTGACTCCACACCCATCAGTCTCTGCTCCACCCCCGCCCCCGCCCCAAGCTCACTGGGTCCCCTCTGAGCCGCGGTTTCCTCTTCTGACCAGTGGACACCCAGAGATGCAGCGTGGGACAGTGAAGGGGGGAGGGGAGTGGCAGCTGTGGCGGGATGGGGCCAGGTTACAGGGATCACACAACACACTCCAACAGCCACTAGTGAGTCTGTGCATGGTCTCACACACACACACAGGTGGACACTCAGAGACAGACACACAGACAGATAGGTACCCGGCCAATCAAACAGGCAGACACAACACACAGAAAGTCAATTACCCAGGCAGACACACAGAGAGCACAATGGCCAACACACAGACGGACATACACCAGGGACTAGGTTTAGAGCACACAACCTGCCACACATCCAGGGCCACATCTGTCACGGCCACATCCCGCTCCTGTCACCTTCTCTAGTCAGGTTAGACCTTCAGGACACGCAGGGACCCCACCCAGACTGGCAGAAACGCCAAGTGCATCCCGGGCCATCCTGGGACCCACCACACCGCGTCCAGACGGCAGGTATAAAAGCCACCGGGCACCTGGAGGCTGTCACCGCCCACAGGGACACACCCATGGCAGGGCAGGGTGAGTGCGGCGCCCAGCCCGGGGCTCACGTGCGCATGGCGCGGCCGAGCGGGGCGCAGACCTCACCTGGGCGACACCTGGGTGGACGCTGCCGATGGTCGCGGCCGCGTCCGGGACGCGGAGCAGGCGGAGGTGCGGGCGCCCGAGGTCGGAGGCCAGCGGAGGGAGGGGACGGGCGGTCCTGGCTCCCAGGGATTCCAGGGGAAACTGAGTCACGGCGCCCCCCCCCACACACAGAGGCCGGGGCGCCGCAGGCAGGTCGCCGCGGGCACAGATGGAGAGCGTGGCGGCAGAGGGGCCGGGGCGCTGGCAGCAGTGGCGGGGGCGGCCCGCGAGGCCCGGGCTCCCGCCAGCCCCGCCCCCGCGCTCGCCCCGCCCCCGGGCTCGGGGTGGGTGGGGCCTCGCCGGGGGAGGGGCGCCGAGGGACCCGGACTCCTCGCCGTGTGCATAGCGCCCAGGGCGGAGGGTCGGGCGCTCAGCCTCCGGGAGGCCCCGACCCGCGCAGGGAGAGCCGGTTAACCCGGGGGGGGGGGGGCGCCTGACACACAGCAGGCGCCTAATAAGTGCAGGATCTGCTCTGCTCAAAGCCTCTGCAAGGGAGCGGGTGGGGGACACAGGGACATTTGGGGGCGGGGGATGCAACATGGGCCACCTGGCTGAGCAGAGCTTCCCGGCAGAGGAGCCCCTAGGGTTGGGGTGATGTGGGGGGGATGCTCCCGGGGGGCGAGTCTGTGAGGACAGAGGCTGGCGGTGGCCTCAGCAGGAAGCCTGAGGTGGAAGAGGGGCTTGATGGGGAGGATGGATGGAGGCTGTCACCACAGCAGCGATTTAGATGAGGGCTTGGGGGCAGCTCGCCAAGGGTCTTCCGGCCTGAGACGATGGACCGGAGGGGTGGGGGTGGGGGGTGTCCACGGGCCTGGTCAACCTGAGAGGCTGTGTGGAGGGCAGGGTCTTGGACTCTTTGGTGTCAGTTTGCACGCAAACCAGGCAGACCCTTGGCTCGAGTTAGGGCCCTGGGTGGGCCAGGATGGCTGGCCTGGCCCTGACCCACCCTGCCCTGTCCACTGGTCCAGACTCTGAATGCAGAGGAGGGGCTCTATCAGCAGACCCGAAGTCCCTCCCTTTGCCCCGCCCACCACCTGTCAGCCTCCTGGCTTCTACCGCATCCCTCCAAACGGCCCCTCCTCTGTAGCATCCCATTGCCTGACACCTTGAGCCCTAATTTCTCCCTTCATGGTAAGGCGTCACCCAACTCCTATGCATCTGGCAAAGCCCTGCCTCCAAGGCCCCACCTCAGTAAATCCTTCCTGAACTCTGAGTCTTACTGCACTCAATCTCTGTGAGGGGACAATTCTGAGCTCCT